CCTGGAAAAGCTAGTCCCTAAAGGCTGTATTGAGCTGGTACATGCCAGAGCATCCTAAGTGGGCAAACCCATGGAGACTTAGTTTCAGAAGCTAGAAATTCATGAGGTTCAAAATTGATCTAAGCCAGGGGCTGGAGAGATGGCTCAGAGGTTAAGAGCATCTTGCCTGTTCTTCCAAAGGTCCTGAGTTCAATTCCCAGCAACCACATGGTGGCTCACAATCATCTGTAATGAGGTCTGGTGCCTTCAGGCATACAGACAGAGAGAATATTGTATACATAATACATAAATGGTTGATTGATTGATTGATCTATTGATCTAAGCCGGCCAAGGTGGCACACACCTTTAATTCTAGCACTCAGGTGGATCTCTGTGAGTTCGAGGCTAGCCTGATCTACAAGTACTAGTTCCAGGGTCCAAAACTACACAGAGAAACCCTGTCTACAAAAAAAAAAAAAAAAAATTAGCCTGAGGTCATTTGTTCTGTCTTTTNATTTTTTTTAATTAATTTATTTATTATATATACAATATTCTGTCTGTGTGTATGCCTGATGTCCAGAAGAGGGCACCAGACCCCATTACAGATGGTTGTGAGCCACCGTGTGGTTGCTGGGAATTAAACTCAGGACCTTTGGAAGAGCAGGCAATGCTCTTAACCTCTGAGCCATCTCTCCAGCCCCTTGAGATAATTTCTTAAAGCCTGGGTTGGCCTTTAAGTCCTTTATACCTAAGGATGACCTTGAACTGATCCTACTTCCTCCCCCTTAAAGTTGTGGATTATAAACTGCACCACATATCAGGATTCACGCGGTCTTCTATTTAAGTTATCCTGATCCCTTATCGGTAATAGGGAATAAGGCCCACTCCAGTATTATGTAACTATTTCCTCCAAATTGAAACTTCTTCCTCTGGGAAGGAGGAGAGAGACTCAGGAAGCCAAGGAAAGGCCTTTAATCCCTGCACTGGGAGGGAGGTAGAGGAGGCATATTTCTAAATTCAAGGACAGCTACAAAGCAAGTCACCAAGTCTCAAAAGAAAACAGGATTGGGAAGATGGTTCAGCACTTAAAGAGCACTGGCTGTTTTTCCAGAGGTCCTGAGTTCAATTCCCAGCAATCATAGCCATCCATAATGAGATCTGGTGCCCTCTTCTGGCCTGCAGGCATACATGCAAACAGAACAGTGTGTGTGTGTGTGTGTGTGTGTGTGTGTGTGTGTGTGTGTGTGTGTTGTAAGTAAATCTAAAAAAATTAAACACACAGGCTGGAGAGATGGCTCAGCGGTTAAGAGCATTGCCTGCTCCTCCAAAGGTCCTGAGTTCAATTCCCAGTAACCACATGGTGGCTCACAACCATCTGTAATGAGGTCTAGTGCCCTCTTCTGGCCTGCATTCATACACACAGATTATTATTTTTATATGATAAATTAAAAATTAAACACACCAAAAGACAACTTGCAAAGTTATATAACCTGTGAGCAAGCACTTGGAGTAAGGATACTTGGTGGAACAGACTAAGCTGTGGGGAGGTCCCAGGGATGTAGGATTCCTCACCTATGCTGGGCGAGCTTCCCAGTGATACAGCTGCATCTCCCTAGAAGAAAACACCACCACTATCCCTTCTTGAAGACTACTCAAAGATGCTACAGGAACTCAGAGCAAAGCTTCAGCTCTAGGTGTGCCATCCAAACATAGGAATCATCTAATAAGTAGTTGGGAAGGGAGACCCCCTCAGTGGGATTGCTTGTGAGCTGCCTAAGTCCAGTGGTGCAGCTTCTTGGGGTCATCCCTGTGTTTGAGTGGGTGTTGTGGTGATGGAATGGTTAACCAGGCTAAACTTGAGTGGACCTGGAGAGATGACTCAGTGGTTAAGAGCACTGGCTGCTCTTCCACAGGACTACATGGTGGCTCACTAACTGTGTCTAACTGTGTGTGGGCTGCTGCAGACGGTTTCACTATGTAGCCTTGCGAGTAGACCAGGCTGGCCTGCTTTTAGGTAGACCTACCTCTGCTTTTCCAGTGCTAGCATTAAAGGTGCGTACTCCCACAACCCGCTTTAATGAATACGTATAAATAAAGACCTGATAAATCTCCAAGCCACCAGCCCCTGAGTTCGTCCTGTCCTGTAACACCTCCTTAGCCCTCCAGGAACTCCATGAAGTTTGTAGTCCAAAGATGGTCTCTGGGTGGTGTTTGCCACACAGCCCAGGTAGCGTCATCGTTTGTGGGCCCCAACATCTTTTGGAGACTTCAAAGGTCGCTGTTAGGAACAGACACAGTTCACTACAGGGAATTTAAACATTTTAAATGTCACATGCAGCAGGTATTGGATAGGTTAAAGGACCACGGCCTATTAAATACATCTGAGGTACACAAACTTAGTTTCTAGTTTCCAGCTTCAGACTCAAAGCCCAAAATCACATACATGAAGCTAGATGAGACCTATTTCTAGAATTAGTATTCTATATGACAGTATCACAACAGAAGTTTTAAATATATATATTAATCTTACATATTTTAAGATAATGTGTATGTCTTTTAAAAAAAAAAATGTTTTGTGAGACAGGGTTTCTCTGAAGCTATGGAGCCAGTCCTGGAACTTGCTCTGTAGACCAGGCTGACTCTGCCTCCTGAGTGCTGGGATTAAAGGCCACCTGGCAAGAAAAGTTTTAAAGACTGAAAATAAAACCAAAGAATATGAGCTTATGTAGAAGAGTCCCTAATTTGGGGTTTTCTTGTGTCTCTCTCAGAGCGGTTCTGGATTCTCCTTTAAGCATGCTTTGGTTTACAAGAGAGAGCCATGCTCCAGTTCCAGACCCTCTTGCCTCACTTTGTCCCATGAGCTCGTTTTAAAAATGATTATAGATTTTTATTTTATGTGCATTGACGGTTTGCCAGGATGTCTGTGTAAGAGTGTCAAATCACTTGCAGCTGGATTACAGCCCACCTTAATTAGTTCTTTAAAGACTGAATTCATAGTTAGAAGTTTTTCTCTGTCTTGCCTGGTCTCACTGGACCAGTTTCTTTCCCGCTCGTTTCCCACCGCTGCTTATGAAATAATCACTCAGACAAATATTAAGTATAATTGCTTGGTCTATGGCTTAGGCTATTACTGGCTAGCTCAATTTAAAAAAAAAAAAGATGTTATTTATTATGTATACAGTATTCTGCCTGTATGCCCGCCTGCAGGCTAGAAAAGGGCACCATATCTCATTATAAATAGTTATGAGCCACCATATGGTTGCTGGGAATTGCACTCAGGACCTCTGGAAGAGCAGCCAGTGCTCTTAACTGCTGAGCCATCTCTCCAGCCCCTAGCTCTCACTTGTAAGTTAACCCATTTCTAATAGTCTGTATATCACCACATGGCCATCGCATTACCTTAGGTGTTCCGGCATCTCCCCACCTGCCTTCTTTCTCTCTCTATGTCTGCTATATTCTATTCTACGATAGGCCAAAGCAGGTTCTTTCTTAACTAATGGGAGGAGTACATATTCACCATGTGCAGAAGGACATCCCACATCAAGTGTTTTCACATTCTGCAGAACTGGGGGTAATTCTAGGAAAGGAGATAAACCATTCACCCAGGAGGAGTGCCGGGAGCTGCTGGTGGGTACACACTTTCTGGAAGTGCTGGCAGTTGTGCACAACTTTGAGAACAAAATCCACTGAATTACCTACTCTAGCAGAATGAACTTTGCACTGGGGTGAGTTGAGCTTTTGGGTCTGGCAGGGACTTCAGTTGCTCTCAAGTGCACAAGGTCTAGTGAATCTAGTATTTAAAATATATAAGACCCCACAGTGTTTGGCATTAAAGTTCACAGTTAAGAGATGCTGTCAAACCAGGGTTGGGATTAGAATTGGGGCGCTTAAGATTTTTCTCATTCAGTGTGTATGCACGTACACATGTATATACATACATACAGAGGCCAGAGAGCAATTTGTGGGAGTCAGATCTGCCCTGTCACGTGGATCCCAGGGATGGAACTCACTCAGGTTATGTTTGGCAGCAAATGCTATTGAACCTTTTTAAACCTTCAAGGACCACGCTGTGGCCCCTGGTCGTCATTTTGTCAGTAGAGTAATATCTTTTTTCTCTAACACAGTTCTGAGTCCTTGAGTTCTGTGACAGTCTGTAAACTCGTGCTCTTAACCAGGCCTACTCTGCTTACACAGCTGATACGGAAATGCAGCAAGCAGAGCCAGGCTGGCAGCCATTGTGCTGTGCTCTGCTTATGTGTGAGCCCTCTGAGACTTTAACTATCTCACCTTGTAGAGGAGGAGACAGGCCTCTGGCACCAGCTGTCCTCGGTGAGGTGTCAGGAACAGTGTGAGCACATGCCCAGGTAAGTGTCTAAGTGATGAGTAAATTGCAAGAATAAAATGGAGTAGGTTATTAGGAAGGAAAGTGGAGCTGCAGCCAGATGTGTTGGCTCACTCTGTTAACCTCAGGGAGACCGAGGCAGGCAGATCTATGTGAGTTCTAGGACAGCCAGGGCTACACAGAGAAACCCTGTCAAAAAACAAGATGTTCGGGCTGGAGAGATGGCTCAGTGGTTAAGAGCACTAGCTGCTCTTCCAGAAGTCCTGAGTTCAATTCCCAGCAACCACATGGTGGCTCACAACCATCTGTAACAAGATCTGGCACCCTCCTCTGGCATGCGGGCATACATGGAGGCAGAATGTTGTATACATAATAAATAAATAAATCTTTAAAAAAAAAAAAAGATGTTCCATTAGCTGTGTGCGGTGTCTCATGCCTTTAGTACCAGCACTTTAGAGGCCAGCCTGACCTACAGAGTTCCAGGAAAGCCAGGGCTACACAGAAGAACCCTATATCAAAAAACAAAAAAGGGCCGGGTGGTGGCGGCTCACGCCTTTAATCTCAGCACTTGGGAGGCAGAGACAGGCGGATCTCTGTGAGTTCGAGGCCAGCCTGGTCTACAGAGCTAGTTCCAGGACAGGCTCCAAAACCACAGAGAAACCCTGTCTCGAAAAAAAAAAAAAAAAAAAGGAAGACAGCACTGGGTGGTTGTGCTCACCTTTACTCCTACCACTCAAGAGGCAGAGGCAGGTGGATCTCTCTGAGTTCCAGGACAGCCAGAGCTACACAGAGAAATCCTGTCTTAAAAACAAACGAGAAAGAAAAAGGAAAGCAGAGGGGAGAGGAAAGCAGAATAAGCAGGCTGGGCACTCACCCCATCTCTCTGAAGCCTCTGTGCCCAGCGTCCTGCTGTCAGAACCCCTGTCCTGAGGCTTGCCCACATCCCGGCAGACAGCCTAACCTGCCAGGGTCATCAAGGCCCATGTCAGAAGTGTCAGTGGGGGCACCCAGACAGGTTCCCAGGTGGCGGAATGCCTGTGTTTGTGGTGGAGCCACTTTTCAGCTTTGGGTGGGTACGGCATAAACCCTCGTGACCTTGCAGCTGACATTCCTCAGAAACCACATGGTCCCAACTGGCAGGGACAGCTGCAGACGGTTCCCAGGGTGGTGCCCGTTATTCATCCAGGCCCTACTCAGCTCCTGGTTGCTTTTTGTTCCCAGTGGGCAGTGGGCAGCCGATACTTTGGATCCAGCACCATGAGGGTCTAGAAGCAGCTAACCAACCACGGTCTTTTCCTGAGTGGCCAGGCTGTGGGAAGATGGGGCAGGACCAGACAAAGCAACAGATTGAAAAAGGACTACAGCTGTACCAGTCCAACCAGACAGAGAAGGCACTGCAGGTGTGGATGAAGGTGCTGGAGAAGGGCTCCGACCTCGTGGGCCGCTTCCGGGTGCTAGGATGCTTGGTCACAGCTCACTCAGAGATGGGCCGCTACAAAGAGATGCTGAAGGTAGAAGTACCCTCACAGGGTGCCGTGGGAGGACCTGGGTGCTGGGAAAGGGCTGGGAACAGGGCTAGGTGGCTCCTAACTCCCAGGCTTCTTGTAACTTCCTGAGAATCCTATATCTCACAGGCTAATAATTTTCAGAATTCATAGAAGACCCTGAGGCTTAGATAGCTGGGTATCTTAAGATTCAGGCCTGAGGCCTTCTGCTCTAGTATCTGAGCCTCTGAGTCCAGGGATCTCAAGACCAGACCTCCAAACCAAGATTCTAGTCTGGTACTTGCTGGCTAGGTCGGAGGTGGTACAGGCCGGGCCTTGACTAAGTGTTGTCTGCCTACTACCCTGGCGCCAGTTTGCTGTGGTCCAGATTGACACTGCACGGGAGCTTGAGGATGCCGACTTCCTGCTTGAAAGCTACCTGAACCTGGCACGCAGCAATGAGAAACTGTGTGAGTTCCACAAAACCATCTCCTACTGCAAGACCTGCCTTGGCCTGCCTGGCACCAGGGCTGGTGCCCAGCTTGGGGGCCAGGTCAGCCTGAGCATGGGCAATGCTTTCCTGGGCCTCAGCCTCTTCCAGAAGGCCCTAGAGAGTTTTGAGAAGGCCCTGCGCTATGCCCACAACAATGATGACACCATGCTGGAGTGCCGCGTCTGCTGCAGCCTGGGCAGCTTCTACGCCCAGGTCAAGGTGGGTCTGGGCCTTGGCGGGGGTGGGGGGGGGTGGGCACAATGAGGGTCTGGGGCTCTCTAAGAGCCTTTGGGGGTGGTGGTTCTCACTGTTTATGGTAACTATTCCCTGATTTCCTTTGAGCATAAGTTCTTGTGAGACAGTACCATCAGCCTTAGCCAATCAGAGAATAGAACTATCTGACTTGCCCATCCGGCAAATGGTCCTGCAGATGGCATAACCTGTCTGTGGTCTCGTCAGCCGTGTATTCATCTGGATGGACGAGTGGTCTTTGACATCAGTGAAATGGTTGCTCAGAGAACATTTCTGCTGCACATACAGGTCCACAAATTCACTGGCATGGTTTGTAGAGACTTCACCTGCCTGCTCCAAGTCCAGCACAAGCCCTTAGAGCCTCATAGGAACTACTCACCTTGCTGGCTACTACCCTCAGCCCTCCTATTTTATTTTATTTTTTTGTGTTTGACATTTTTTTATTCTTTTATTTATTTATTTATTTATTTA